CCAAGGTTCCGATCTTCCGGCCCCTTGGGAAGTGATCCTTGTAATACTTGAGGGTGTCGAAGGAGGCTTGTGTGAGCTCGGGAATCGGTTTGATCTACACTGCACAAGACAAAAAAGAATTCAAGTTAGAAAAAGTTAGAATGAAAAGATTTAAAGATGAAAGAAGTAAACATAACGACCTCATACCTAGGTTCCCAAACCTAACAGGCACGTCAAAGAAGGGACGACCTGATTCGTCCTTTGCCAGCCATTCTCCAGAGGCAAAGAACCACTTCCCTACCCATCCTTTGATGGAGGTCGGCCCCTTGACTATACCACCTGCGCCTTTCCTTGCACACATATAATACCGACCTGGCTTCTTAGCTATCCTCTTGGCCTCAAAGCACCCAAGAAGCTGGTCAACATTTAGTAGCTCGGCCTCGTCCTCATCCCGAGGAAAAACAAGGAAAAGTGACTGACCTACGAAGGGTTCGAGCTGGTTTCAGATCGAACTCCAGAAATTCAGGGACGTAAGGTTTGACCTGTAGTCTCAGAACTATTTATAGCTAATCAGAAAATCCTCTACGCCATACACGTGTAATGAACGAGTGGCCAGGATCACCTCGAAATTCGTAACGACGAGATACTTGAGTGCTCCGACAGCCTGGCAGATCGAAACATCTTCCACAACGGTCATATTGTCTTTACGAATTAAAAGTCGCCACGTGTCCAAAATGGAATCGGATCAACTTCTCTGTCAGGTTCGCTTCTCTGCCAGGTCGAGATCGAACCTGACAGAGAGGGGGCCAATGTTTGGGGGTAAAAATACCTTGGACACGTGGAAGACGCTTACTGGTGTCCAAGGATTAAAGAATCCCAGGTCCACCTCGAACCTGCTGAAGAGGTCGGGGTCACCCATTGGAAAAAAGGCTAAGTACGCATGCCAAAGTTCGACCTGACTCGAGTTCGATCTGCTCGGAACCCGACAGGTCCGACATGAGGAAAAAAACATGTAACCATCGGCCGTGAGCACTGTCGGATCCACCACCTATAAATAGAGGGCCTCATTTCACACTTAGGTATCGAATCTCACCTCGAACTAAATACGGAGTCCGACCTATACTGACTTGAGCGTCGGAGTGTTTACCCTCTTGTGCAGGCCCACTCTTGTGTTCAGATCGAGCCGAGGACCGGATTCGAGCTAGGTTCGTAAAGTATCATTGTGCAGACCTTTGCATAAACAGTATGATTTATTTTCTCTCCTCAATCATTACAGCCCACCATGTCACTTTCTTGCCACTGTGCTTTGTTGGGTGTCACAGGTTTCTCAATTCAAACATTAAAATCAAGTGCAATAGAATATTGGTACAGACGTTTTTTTTTCCTTTTAATAAATAATATACTTTTGATTCATCCTCACGATCTTTTCAAAATAAATTTTTAATGCGATTTGGTGATGAAGATTGTCTTACTATGGTTAGATCCAATGAACAATTTAAAATATGTTGTTAGTGAAAGTTATTTCCTTCTTTTCGTTGAATGATTAACAAATGATTAATTTTTGACACTTTGGCCGGAGAGAGAAAAAGAATGGGTTA